AACTGGTCGCGACCCAGGCGAAACTCGACGAGTAGGTGGTGGTGCTCGAGCGGCAGAGGGCAGCCATCAGGGAACACGCCAGCACCATCGCGAAGGTCATGCAGAATGAGGGGGCTTTGGGGGTGCTGGCACCTCCGCCAGGTTCGCAGTTGGCGCAGGTGCTGGAGGTCCCCAGAGGAAGGTTCGGGAGCGACGAGGGCGCCCGCATCGCCGAGGAGGTGCAGGACGCAGCCCAAGCAGCGGCAGACGCAGCAGCGGCAGAGCGCGTTCGTGCAGCAGGCCTACCAGCCGCAGGCCCAGCCGCAGCCACAGCTTCAGCCGATACGGCGGCAGGCGGCGCAAAGCAGGGTGCGGCGGCAGAGGGTGTCCCCGCGGATGATCCTGTCATGGGTCAGGACTTGAATGATAATGATGATGCTGATGGTGCTGATGCTGATGCTGCTGGTGTCGCGGCGGCGCTGACAGCAGGTGCGGCCAGAACGGGCTCCACCGACGTGGGCAAGAAACGTGCGGCCTCGGAGGCGCAGTTGTCGTCGGCGAAGTCGAAGCCAGGCGTGGCGGAACCAGCGGGGGCTGGCTCGAGGCGCGTCGACAGTGAGGGCAGGTGTACGGCAGCGCTGCCCAGCGGGCGGCAGCGTGGAGAAATGCTAGTCGTTGGCGCGCTTCTGGCGAACGAAAGCCCAGGCGAGCGGCCGTGGGAGGTGCTCGAACAGCTGGGGGGGGGTCGTGGAAGGCATTCTGTAGGAAGGCGCAGCCGTGGCTGGCGTGTATCAGCGGTGCGGTTGTCTTCAACGACGCGGGCGCGAGCGCCCGCCACTTCGGCGTGGAGCCGGAGGCGTCGCCCCTGGACGGCGTCACCGTGTCGAACGACCTTCCTCACCGCGTCGAGGGGTGCACGATGCCGGAGGATCGTTCGGACCGCGCTCGGCGGTCAGGCTGCAGCCGAGGGCGCGTGGGCGGGTTGCAAGGGAGAAGAGGGCTGATGGTTCCAGCAGCTCTCCCAGCCAAGAGGCCCGCGGGGCCCCTGCGGCCGCCGGGGCCGGCGCTGGGTGAGTTGGTCAGGGCTCGAGACGAGGCGGATTCGTTGGGGGCGCTGGATGAGGCGCGTGAGCTGGCCGCGGTGCGCGTCGAGGCGCCAGCTGGACATGAACGGCAAGGGGGGCCGCTGCCTGGGCAGAGGCGAGCCGCCTCGTTTCAACTGGCGGATCCCGAGTCTTGATGGGCGAGGGGGCCCGCAGCGCGGAATATCAAGGGCCTGGGTGTGCACGGAGGCGAGGTGCTTGCTCGCGGTGGCGGACTGCGCGACCACGACTAATGGAGGCGTGACGACGAGGTAGCCTGGCGAGGCACTCGGGGTGGTTCGTGCGAAGTGACGGGCCATGCTGGACATCCTGGAGGAAGTTCCCCAATGCATGGAGGAGGCGTGGGTTGAGTGGGGCCTGTGAGGAGTTGGGGGCGCTCAACTGCAAATTCGCGCGCAAACGGCGCCGGTGTTTCTGCGAGTGGATGCGGCCTCCATTGGAGTTCGGCGTCAAGAAGGTCCACTCGTTTTGGCGCGGGCTTGGAAGGATCATGACGGGAGTTCTTTTTGTTTTTCTCGGCCCCCAGGCCACTTACGGGCCACGTGACCGTCAAAAGACGATCCAGGATGAAACACCGGGGACGTCGGAAGGGGCCCAGATCTTCAGGGACCCACGTTGTAAACAGATCTCCACGTCGGAGTTCTGAAGATGATGCTGATGATGGTGATGCTGATGATGACCATGATGAAGATGCTGCTGATGATGAGGATGATGAGGATGATGATGATGCTAATGCTGATGATGATGATGATGATGATGATAATGACGATGCTGATGATGATGAAGATGATGAGGATGCTGCTGCTGATGATAATGATGATGGTGTTGGTGATGGTGATGGTGATCATGGTGGTGATGATGCTGCTGCTGCTGCTGATGATGATGATGATGATGATGATGATAATGATGATGATGATGATGATGATGATGATGATGATGATGATGATGATGATGATGATGATGATGATTAGTATCGTGGTTATGACGGTGATGGTAATGGTGATGACGATGACGATGACCATGACCATGACGATCACGACGACGATGACTACGATGATGCTGCTGCTGATGACGATGTTGATGATTATGATGATGATGCTGATGCTGATGCTGATGATGGTGATGATGAAAAGGAGGACGTGGAATAGGAGGAGAAAGAGGAGGAGGATTGTAGCGTAGCTCTGATGCCCGTGAGGGTCGGCGGAACCCTGTATGTGTCGAGTGGGCCGCTTGGACTCACCCGTCCTTTTCCGTCGGTGTTGGTGAAGGTTTGGAAGTCCCTCCTTAGGTTGAACGGCACAGCATACCGTGCGACGCACCAGACAATTCGTGGCTCGTATGAGCCAGCCGCATGTCTCTTGACAGCCATCTCTGCCAGTTTAGACTTTGTACTGCTGAACGTATCACTGGACTGTCCCGGAGGCTGAAACCTCCCATGTGTGGGGGGTGAATCGCTAGTACAGATGAGCTCACGAATGAACGAGGTACCGCGCCATGGTCGAAGCTCCCTTGAGCAACACAATGCTCAAAATCATATACGCTGTAACTGAAATTCGCAAACAAGATGTAACCAACTAACATAATTCAGTTCGGGATTCTGGGCATTGCCGCTGGGCCGTGCCCTGGAGGCCGAAACCTCCAATTGGTGAGGGTTCGCTCGCGCGAATGAGCTCGCGATTGATTGAGCAATCGTGCTATGGTCGAAGCTCCCCTGAACACGAAGTTTTTACATAAGCCACAGCCCTCCTCCACAAACGCGACGTAACAAACGCGCACAGGCCGAACTGGGGACTGCCAGCACTGCCGCCAGGTTGTGACCGCAGCCTCCCTTGAGGGGATTTGCTGGCACGGATGAGCTCACGAATGAACGAGCTGCCGCGCCATGGTTGAAGCTCCCTTGAGCAACAAGAAGTATCAAGAGTATACGAGCTGCAGTTCAAATTCGCAATCAAGGAGGATCCAACATACATAAACTCAGTTCGGAGCTCTGGGCATTGCCGCTGGGCCGTGTCCAGGAGGCCGAAGCCTCCCATGGGTGAGGATTTGCGGATGAGCCCACGACTGAGAGAGCAACCGTGTGTGTCAAGGTCGAAGCTCCCCTGCAGAACTAAGACGTAGAAAACACACATAATCCGCATTCGACCTTCACAGAACTCGGGATTGCCGGCATTGCAGCCAGGCGGTGTCCTGGAGGCCGAAGCCCCAAATGAGGGGGGGAATCGCTAGCACGGATGAGCTCCGCCGTGCTACGGTCGGAACACTCTTTCAACACTAAAATGTAAAAAGCACACTAGCTGCAGCTCACCTCCACAGAACACGACGTAGCAAACAGGAATGAACGAGCTACTGATCTATGGTCGAATCTTCCCTTCAGCACTAAGACGTAGACAGCACATCAGTTGATTCACAAAACACGACGTCGCAAACAGACATCAACTAAACTCGGGACTGCCCGGATTGCCCACGGGGTGTGTCCTGGAGGCCGAAGCCTGCAATGGGGGACGATTCGCTGGCACGCATGAGCTCGCGAAGGAACGGGCTACCGTGCTATGGTCGAACGTCCCCTTCGCGACAAGAAGCCGCAATCCCACACCTTGGGCTGCGACTCGGCTCCACAGATCAGAAGGGAGCAGGACGACCCTGACCTTGCTGCTCCTCCCCCCTTCCCCTCTGCCTGCCCCGCTTCCCTGGAGAGTCCAGCACGCGGAGAGGGTTTTTTTGGGGAGGGAGGACAGCTTCTTAGAAGCACCCCGGCCTCTTGGAAGGCGCGGGCCCTTATCTATAGATGTAAGGCCAGCGCCTTCTAAGAAGCAGCCTCCCTCCAAGAAGCCCTCCCCCTTCCCTCCGCCCCCTGATGCGCGTCGCCAAGTCAGGGATTGCAACGCGTACTTGTGCATGAGGCTGCCTTCTGTGCCTTCTGCAAGTCCCCACGCGGGACCCTTCGGAGATCTTGGGAGGAGTCTTGAACCGATAAAGGGTTCTGTTCATGCGCGACGTTATCCTTCAGTCCCAGGGGCGCCGTGGGGTTTTTGTAGAGTCTTCTTGAGGCCATCCTGCCAGAGCTAGTTCTCGAGCGACTGCCTGCACGGGGTCGTTTCGGTTTGTCGTGTTTCCATGTTTGCTCGCGGGCTTGGTTCTCTGCTGACCGCTGTAGTGCCTGCAGTCGAGTCTCCTTCTGGTCTCCGTGTTCCCGCAGCTTCGTCAAGCAGCTTCTGTTTTTTTCTTGCTTCTCAATGTCCGAGTCCCGAATCGGTACGATGCGCCTCCGGAATCCCCCTTCCCCCTTCCCTCTCATCCCTTCTCCGGTCTCTCCTCCTTCCCCTCTCCCTGCTGCGCCTCCCTCTCCCTCGCCCCCTCTGCCTCCCTCTGCTTTTGCTCCTCCTCGTCCAACCTCCAAATCGTCCTTCTCGTCATCTCCTGCTCCTCTTTCTCCTTATTCGCCTTGTCCTTCGCCCACTCCTCCCCATTCGCTTCCTCCCTCCGTTCTCCTCCCTCCCCCTCCCCTCCCCTCTGTCTCCTCTCCCTTCTCCCCCGTCCTCCTTGGTCCGCATGTCGTCACAGCGTTGTGCACACCCCTGGCTCTGATCCCATCATTGGATTGTTTCGCGGACATCTGAGTCCTGAGTCCTGAGTCCCGTCCTCCTCCGCCTCTCCCTCCTCCTCCTCCTCCTCCTCCTCCTCCTCCTCCTCCTCCTCCTCCCCCCCCTCCCTCCCATCCCCCTCCTCCTCCTCCTCCCTCCTCCTCCTCCTCCTCCTCCTCCTCCTGCTCCCTCCTCCTCCTCCTCCTCCTCCTCCTCCTCCTCCTCCTCCCGCCCTTCCTCCCCATCCTCGCGAGGGGCCATTTCGCCCCCCCCCGGGGGGCCGCGCGGCCCGCGGGGCTCGGGGGCGGGGGGCGGGGGCCCGCCCTGGCTCCGGCAGGTCGCCTCGCACCCGAACCCGGGCTTCCAGCAGCAGTACCTCGCCCGCATGGACCACTTTGGTCGGGATGGGGGGCGAGAGTACGGGACGGGAAAACGACCACAGCCACAGCTTTTTTTTGTTGCCGCCTTCCAGCCAGCAGAAACAGAGCGGTGGTTGTGGTCATTGTCGTTAGGCTTGGCACCAGGGAAATGACCTCAGCCACTGCTTCTTTTGCTTCCAGCTGGAAGGCGGCGCAAACAAGAAGCAGTGGCTGTGGTCATTTTCCCGTCCCGCAGAGAGGAGGAAAAGGCACTCTGGGTTTTGTAATTTTTACCGGGCGAAGAACGGTACGACATATAAGCTTGTTCGCTGTCGGGGGCGCCTGTCCCAGGGTGGCTGGGAAGTTTATGCCCTTACGGTGGCACGTCAAGGTGTAAACTTTCCAGGCGCCCTGGGGCAGCGCCCCCGGTGACGGAAAAGTTTATTTTATACATTCTTCGCCCGCTAATTAATAAGCGTGGGGGGGTACCCCCCGACGGGGGTCATCCTCGCCTCGTCGTCGCGCCGCGACGGGGGTCGGAGCGCCTTCGGCGCGCGGTGGCTGCCCGCGACGGGGGTCGATGTGGGGCTGTCGGCGGGGGTGATGCCCCCCCCGACGCTTATGAAGAAACTCGGAGTACCGATGCCGCTGCCCTTCTATTTGGGCCTCCCCGAAGGCCCTTGTATCCACGGCGGGGTTGGCCTCAAAGTTCTGGTCAGCGCGCACCACGGGAGGGCTCCGGGGAATAGCGACATCGGTATCTTCTCGTTTCCCCAAGGGGGCCGAGTCGTTAGACCCTTAGCGACGTTTGTCGTGAGTGCGCCGCCGTTCGTCGTAGATCGTTCTGCGTCGTCGACGTTGTCGTCGATTCCTTGCGGCGTTGCCGCGGCCAGCTCTGTCTCCTCTTCCTCCGCATCCTTCTCCTCCTTCTCCTCCTTCCTCCTCGTCCTCCGCCGCCGCCGCCGCCTCCTCCTCTTTCCTCCGCGTCCTCCGCTGCCTCCTCCTCCTCCTCCGCCTCCCTCCTCCTCCTCCTCCTCCTGCTCCCTCCTCCTCCTCCTCCTTCTCCTCCTCGTCCTCCTCCTCCTCCTCCTCCTCCTTCTCCTCCTCGTCCTCCTCCTCGTTCTCCTCCTCCCCCCTCGTCCTCCGCCGCCTCCTTCTCCGCATCCTCCGCGCCCCCTCTTCACGTGTCCTCCTCCCCCGTTTTCCTCCTCCTCGTGCCTCCGCCTCCGCCGCCTTCTCCTCGTGCCTCCTCGTCTCTCCCCCCCTCTTCTCCCCCCTCGCCCCCAGCAGGTGCGCCTGCTTCCCTCCCTCCTCCTCCTCCTCCTCCTCCTCCTCCTCCTCCTCCTCCCTCCTCCTCCTCCTCCTCCTCCTCGCCCCCAGCAGGTGCGCCTGCTTCCCTCCTCCTCCTCCTCCTTCCTCGAGGGTTCTGGCCTGGTCAGGGACCCTCGGCAGCGGTGCGGAAGGGGCTCCAGCGGGTGCCCACGACCCATGCCAATCAACGAGCCAAGTTGGTCAGGCTGGCGCGCGGCCAACACACCGAGTAGGATGGTGATTCTTCTCCTACCACGCGTGGCGCAATCGGGCGCCTTGGACGCATCCCTCGGTCGGTTTCATCCGTTCCGTTCCGTAGCGGCTCGGAACGTGCCGATTTTTGGAGGAAATCATGCACAGGAAATGTGAAGCTGCGTGGGGCAGTACTCGAATGCGAGCGTCACTCCTCTGGAGTCGCCTCGATCACTCCGTACCTGGCTTCGCCTGAAGGGGAAGGACAAATGGAGGGGGGTTTATTTCTCAGGCCAGCCTCATGACATTCCCCCTTCCCTCGCTCCCTCCCTCCCTCCCCCCTCTCGCCCTCTCCCCCCCCCCTCCTCCCCCCCCCTCCCCCCCCCCTCCCCCCCCTTCCCCCCCTCGCCGCCCCGAGGTCTCGGCGTGATGGGCCTCGAGGCGCTGTTCTCGCTGTGCAGCCTCCGGGAGGAGGGCTCGCCGGGCATGCACGAGGCGAGGGGCGCGTGGGCGGCCTACTGGGCCACGGCGGCGGGCTCGGAAGGGCGAGCGCGGCGACGAGGTGGATGGTGGTTGTGATGGCTGTGATGATGCGGATGGTTCTCTGTGGTGATGCGGATGATTCTTTAGCATCTTTTTGGCGTCTGACGCTTTGGGCGCTTCATGGATGCGCTTGCGCAGCGCGAGCGAGGTGTCATGGGGTGGGTGCGTGGAGGAAGGTGCGTCATCAGCATCATCAGCAGCGCCAACAGCATCATCGATGTTGTCGGCGCTGCTGCTGACGATGCTGACGACGGTGAGGAGGATGATGCTGATAAGGATGAGGATGGTGATGAGGATTGTGATGAGGCCGAGTATGATACCCATGATGGCTTATGGTCATGATGCTGATTATGCTGATGATTCTGTTGTAGATGACGACGATAACGATTGCGATGCATATTACGATGATGATGCTGCTGCTGCTAATTATGA